ACAATCCTGCAGTTCCCATTGCCTTTTCTCTACTGGAAAGAGCCATTTACTATATTTATGCACCTTCATCCTCTAATCATCACTCATGAACATGAGACAAGATTTGCATCGATGTAAAGGTGATAAGTTACTACTTATGAAACCTGTTTATAAGAAGAAAACATTCCTTGCTAGAGCGTTTACAACAAGAGGAATAGAAATTTGGAACAATTTTAATGTAGAGACAAAACAAATAGTAATGAAAGGAGCTTTTAAGAGGCTGTCTCTGTAAAAACCACCATCTCAATTTCAATGCAAAATTAGATTTTTCTCATCAGCTCAGTTTTTCTTACTTTAACCATGACTAATACGAAAACGAATTGTATTTCATTTGTAAGTCGATTTTGACATTTTCAGGATGGATACAAAGTCAGGTGTAGGCCACTTCAATTATGCACCGTTGAAAATCGGAAATATGACTGACATTCTCATCGCTGTGAAACAAGCGGAATTCCATTTAAAGCCTTAGTTTTTATACAGTTTATAGATATGGCATAACTAAATATTTGTACCAATCATTGTTGAAATTGCGTATGAGAATTCGTCAGAACCAACTATTTACTTATAACATGTAAACTGTTTTGCGACAAAACACAAAAGTATCACAACTTCAAGACCGAATTTTAAAAGTGTGGCACCTATTTGAAACATCTGAATTAATTTAAATAGAGACAATAAATAATGTCTAATTTAAAACAATAATAACATTTTTCTGCATGCAATGTTTGGGAAAATAACAGTGGCCTACAAATCACAAAATTTTCAAAATGCAGTGCGCCAACCGACAGATGATGGCCTTAAACTCCCTTACCTTGTCTAGCCATAAGTTAAGAGTTGTTATCTTCGTGTGACACTACAGTAAATCCAAGATAATGTGAAAAACTGAAATTGCATCCACTGACGCTAATTTTGTAAATATATTAGATCGTATTCAACGAAGCTCGTAAAATTATAATGTAAAATACAAGAACGATAGAACTCACATGCATGTATTTTGTTTATTACAACGACCTTGCTTGCTTGATTCTGACAGAAAACAAAGCCAAAGATTGGCAAAGACATCAGGTCACCACAATAAATTTACTTCAAGTCATAGCTAAACACGTAATAATTATTAATGCAGATCAATTGCATTAAACAGCTACTAATATGCAAAGCGGAAGTAAAGTTAACAATGTTTTGTTTAATTCATTCCAGTCTCCATATTGTAGTGACATTATTATACTTTATTATTGATAGGTAATTATGCAAGTGTTAAATGCGTGACTGATTTTGCGTGGGTGACTTAACTTATTAGGTATATAAGTAGAGTTCAGATCGTATTATTGATGATATTATTATTTGGTTTAATACTGTGAAATAAAGACTAAGGAAAGATTGAAAGTCTACGTTGTTGAACATATTACATTGGTGACCCGGCCAGGATTCTTTGCTTCTGGAATCTTCGGATATATATAAGTTACAGCGTGGATTTGTTGGTAGTTGTTTACAGCTGTTATGTCGCAGGAAGGTGACAAAGACGAGGAGGCAGATCGGAATTCTGCTATGTTTACAGAAGCGAGCGAATATCCCGTAGAAAACGACCGATTTGCTGTATACGAGGTGGTAAATCAGTCAATTCTAGAACCAGTTTATCAACGATTTGATGAACAGTTGAAGTTATTACACGAACAGAAGATTGCCCATTGAAACGAAGCCGAAAAAGCGGAATGTTTTCGAAAGTCTATGGAGCAAATAATGCAAAAATTTTCCGCAAGATTGAACAGGACAGAAAAATGTTGTAAAGTGTTAGAAAAGGAAACGGACGATATTTCCAAACGTATGAGAACTATTGAACAACGGGCTGTTTTGTGAGATTCAGCTCAAGACCGGTTAGAATCAGTTCAAGCAGAGTTGGTCAGCGGAAAGCAGCATTCCTTGCAACAAGTTTAAAAGGGTCAACGTTGAATATTCTCAGCAATTTATTGTCTGATCGACGAGATGATTACCAAGCACTGGTCTCAGCGTTAGAAAGCAGATTTGGTACAGCCCATAGAGCAGAGCTCTCTAGAGTTCGGTTCAAAAACAGAATTAAGCAACGAGAAGAAAGCTTGGCTGTCCTGTCCGAAGATCTCGAACGACTAGGTCGAATGGCATACCCAGACGCTCCAGCTGATGTGCAGAATGTTTTAAGTAGGGACCAGTTCATCGACGCGCTCCCAGACGAAGATATGCGTTTGAGAATAAAACAAGAAAGACCGAAAACACTGCAAAAAGCACTGGAACTGGCTTTGGAACTGGAGTTCCTATGGTACGTGTTAGGTGTACTGGTCAATCTCAGTGTTGTAGAGTGGTGGCTCCAGAGACAGTTAAAATACCTCCTCGATCGGAATCCCTAATTTATGGAACACTTAAAGGAGACGTAGCTGAGCTGTGGGGAAGTGTGGGTCCAATGCAGAAAGAAACACAGAGTAAAGTAAGGCATGCTGGTGGCAAGAACATTGGTCGATTTACGAACACTAGGAAAGCTTCCAGTAAGGGTGATGAATCTGACGGATCAAGTACGGTACATTAAGAAAGGAACGGAAATCGCTGATTTCGAGCCAGTGACGTACGCCGTGGATGTCAATAAACAAAGGACAACGCCTGTTATACCAGCCAACGAGACTGCGATTTCACTACATTTGTGTGACTTGTATGACAGAAGTAAGAAAAATTTGAACAGCGATCAACAAGAGCAGTTACGCAACCTTCTGATAGAATTTCAGGATGTATTTTCGAAAGGACCTGATGACATTGGCAGAACAAGTTTAACCAAGCACAAAATTGATGTTGGAACAAATAATCCTATACGACAAGCGCCAAGAGTACCTCCTTTAGCAAAACGAGAAGAAGCTTCAAAAGCAATCAGAGAAATGAGGGAACAAGGAATCAGAACCTTCAAGGAGTCCTTGGGCTTCTCCTATTGTTTTAGTGAAAAAGAAGGACGGTTTGACAAGATTTTGCGTGGACTATCGAAAGTTGAATTCTATAACAAAGAAAGACTCTTATCCACTGCCTAGAGTTGATACAAGTCTTCACTCCTTCTTTGGTTCTGCTTGGTTCTCCACTCTAGATGTAAAAAGTGGATACTGGCAAGTTCAAATGGAAGAATCTGATAAGGAGAAGACCGCTTTCACCACGGGCGAAGGACTTTGGCAATTTGTAGTCATGCCGTTCGGGTTGAGTAACGCGCCAGCGACGTTTGAAAGACTTATGGAACAAGTATTAGTTGGTCTTCCTTGGTCTATTTGTCTGGTATACTTGGACGACATTATTGTTCATGCACAATCATTTGAGGAAGAACTTCTTCGTCTGCGAACAATCTTTACTCGGTTACGTGAAGCCAAGTTAAAGCTTAATCCTAAGAAGTGTCACCTTTTCCGAGATGAATTAATTTACTTGGGTCACAAGATTGGACGAAATGGCGTTATGACTGGTCACGACAAGATTGAAGCAATCCAAAAACATGGCCTGTTCCACGAAATGTTGGCGAATTAAGAAGTTTCTTAGTGCTCTTACTATCGTAGGTTTGTCAAATCCTTCGCAGACAAAAGCCAGCCTTTGAACATGTTACTTAAGAAAGGAACACCATTCGAGTGGACGGAGGAATGCCAAACGTCACGCAAAGTTTAATTACCGCACCGGTATTGTCGTATCCTTGTCCAGATGGAGAGTTTGTCCTAGATACTGATGCGTCGAATTTTGGCCTTGGAGCTGTATTGTCACAGGTGCAAGATGGCGAAGAACGTGTTATTGGCTACTACAGTCGAGCATTGACTAAGGCAGAGAGAAATTACTGTGTGACGCGGAAAGAATTACTTGCTGTTATTTCTTCGATAGAACACTTCAACTATTTCTTGTACGGTCGCCATTTTGTCATAAGAACAGATCATTCAGCACTACAGTGGTTAATGAACTTCAAGAATGTTCAAGGACAATTAGCACGTTGGGTACAAAGGCTACAGCAGTATGATTTTACCATAAAGCATTGAGCTGGCAAAAGTCACGCAAACGCTGATGCGTTATCTCGGAGACCTTGCCTTGAGGGTGAATGCCAGCACTGTTGGAAACTTGAATATGCATCCACTTCGAAAGTTTGTGAAACAGTGAAGTTGTTGAAAGTAATTATTCTGCTGAAGAAACTTCACGTGTTGTCACGTTGATGCAACAACGAGAAATCGACAATGATGAAATCTCTGACGAAGTTAAAATCCAAGAACTTCAGGAGAAAGATATTGAGGTTGGACCCGCTGCTGAGTTGGTTACGACAAAGCTCAAATCGTCCTCGTTGGTCAACTGTAGCACCTTACAGTCAGGTGACGAAAATTCTTTGGGCGCAGTGGGACAGTTTATGTGTTCACAATGGTTGTCTTTACCGATTGTGGGAAGGTAACCGACCTTCGGATTCTCACTACCAACTTATTGTACCAAAAGAGCTACGGACCGAAGTTCTACAAGAGTTGCATGGTAGTCAAAGTGTTGGGCATTTCGGCGTAAATAAAACTGTGCAACGACTTAAGCAGAAATTTTATTGGCCAAAATGTCAGAGTGATGTAAAGAGATGGATACAGCAGTGTGATGCTTGTTGTTCAAGAAAGGGACCTCAGAAGAAACAGCTTTGTATACGGTTGGTGCCCCTACGGAACGAATCGCCATCGATATCATGGGACCTCTACCTGTATTGAAGAATGGTAATAAGTACCTGTTGGTAACTATGGACTATTTTTCAAAATGGCCCGAAGTTTATGCCATACCAAATCAGTAGGCGAAAACAGTTGCAGCTGTATTGGTTCGAGAGTTCTTTTGTAGATTCGGCACACCTCTGGAATTACATTCAGATCAGGGACGAAAACTTTGAGTCAGAACTTATCAAAGAAATGTGTCAAATTTTGGGTATACATAAAACAAGAACAACTCCATACTATCCCAAATCAGATGGAATGGTTGAACGATTCAATCGTACATTGGCAGCCCAATTATCTTTGTTTGTAAACGAGAACCAAACTGATTGGGACGAACATTTATCCACCGTGTTAGTGGCATACAGAACCGCAGTGCACAAATCAACAGGACAGACCCCAGCTAAAATGATGATGGGTCATGAGCTACGGCTTCCGATTGACTTAATATATGGAAAACCGCCTGGAGAAGAAGTTTCAGTAAATACGAAATATGGAAAGATGTTGGATGATAGCTTAGAGCGTGCTCATGAGTTTGCTCGGAATCAACTGATTGTTTCTGGAGAAAGAATGAAGAATAACTATGACATAGATTCGTCAAAAACTCAATTTGAAAAAGGAGACAACGTTTGGTTGTATACACCTCAAAGAAAAAAGGGTTTATCTCCAAAGCTACAACGGAAATGGAAAGGGCCATACAGCGTAGTGAAAAGAATCAACGATCTGGTTTACAAGATCCAGGCTGGACCTCGTTCAAAACCTGTTACAGTACATCGGAATCGATTATGGAAATACAGTGGTCGAGATCCTCAAACGTGGATAATGAACCAAAAAGAAGAACCAGTTATTCCAAAGGACAATGAATCAAAGAAGCAGAAGACACCGGAAGATGGTCGAAAGCAATTAAAGAATCCAATTGTTAAACAGAGGAAGACCCCTAATCGTCTAAATAGCGAAAACGTGGGTGAACAAAGTACCAGTATTGTTTGTGTCGAAGAAGATATTTCGCCTGTTATTTCGACAGCAGCAGAAGAAGAAATGGCATCCGCAGAACGAGAATCAGCTGCACAGATATTAACTCGGAGTGAAACAGAGTTGCCACAAAGAAGCAGCAGAAAGCGAAAAACTCCGGACAGATACAATTTAAAATATGCCCCGGGACCGAGGCATTTCTAGGAGGGGGGTAGTGTAGTGACATTATTATACTTTATTATTGATAGCTAATTATGCAAGTGTTAAATGCGTGACTGACTTTGCATGGGTGACTTATTAGGTATATAAGTTGAGTTCAGATCGTATTATTGATGATATTATTATTTGGTTTAATACTGTGAAATAAAGACTAAGGAAAGATCGAAAGTCGACGTTGTTGAACATATTACGTATTACATTAGTATAATTGTCATTGGAGTATAATTGTCACTACAATATGAATTGTCAGCAAACTGCAAACGAAGTGTAAATATGAGAAAAGACGAATTATAGAAAACATTGCAATAAAATTCTATTAAACTGCTATAAATTTTTTAGGTTTCTTGATGAGCTCGCGTTTTTTCCACTTTTGAGAATTTTGTAACAGAGAAGTATTTTTAAATACTTAAAATATTCAAAATACTTAAAACGTAACGTAAGTTGTTAAGTGATAATCAGTGGTTAATTATGAACCATGTGTATCACGTGACTTCTTGCATAATACCACACTGGTATCCACTGGGGTTGACTGTCAATAGATTCGACGTTCTTAGGGCCACCATTGGCAAAAAATTTTTCTTAAGTTTGCTTATAAAGACCTAACAGATCATTCGTAGTGGGTGGCATCACATTCACACTCGCTAATAACGTTTTTGAGTTTGTCTATTAGAGTTTGCTTCTTATCCTTAGACTTAAAGTTGACTTCAAGGTGACAAAGAATATTTTTAAGCATTGGGACATTGAAATCCGAAAGCTTTTTTCTGTGATAATATTCACAAAAATCATACATGTCAAATGTAATAGGGTGCTTCAAGCCAAGTTCATGAGTGATGCTCTTGATTAATTCTTGTTGTTCGGAATCCTTCACCAGGCACTCTACATCATCTTCACACTCCAATGAAAGGCCTACCAAACCGTTTTCTTTGTGACGAGAAGCTGCCAGACGAGAAAAGAAGCTCTTTATCTGTCTCTTCGTTAACCATTCTTTAGAACTGAATTTGCCCTCATTTGATGGATTTCTAGATGTTCTCATATCCTTCTCAACCTGGCTTGGATCAGCTTTACAACCAGTTTTTTTGCCAATTAAAAATCTTGCTGTCAGATAATCCTTGACCTTTTGTGAAAATCGAGTAGAGCTTGTGGTCTTGTTGATTGCCCATCCCATGGTTAGAGGTGTACCGTTGATGTTGCTAGATGAAGGTGTTTCCAGAGATGTGGAATTGACTGAGGTCAAAGTTGTGCAACAATTTGTTTCATATGCTACATCAACTGAAGCAAATTTTCCTGCCCAATCTTTTCAAACTATGTCATAAAAGCTTTTTTCACTTGTAGTTCGGATTAAGGTGCGACTCCAGCTCGGAGAACAATTCAAAAGCTTGGGTACACCCTGGCACAGAACACTTGAAAAGTGATTCGCTTGCGGTTGGTTGTTTCTTTCGTTCTTGATTCAAATCTCTTTCTTTGACTGAATCAAACCAATGGTCAGGATCGTTACCCTCGTTTGAAGCATAGTTGAATCTGATGTTTCACGTACAGCGCTTTATACGGAAACATCTTTCCCGGCCAATACCTAGCTTTCCATGCTCAAATTCCTGCACTTTCAAAATGGAAGTTATGGAACGCACGGAAGTTGTCAAGCTTGTTCACAGAGACTTTCCCTTGATCTGTCAACGACATTTACCGAAGTCGACGTTCCCCGTACAGGATGTTGCTTCAAAGCCTCTTTCATGTCCGATGCTGTCAAAATATCATGACCCTCAGAACAATATTCGCGAATGGACGCTTTTAGCGGGCAAAGAATCCTGTCGCATATGTCCTTTCCACTTTGTGGCTCGGAAAAATCATAGTTGTTAACAGTTATTCCTACCCTCTCTCCAATATCTCTTACTGCAGCAATCAACAGGTTATTGTGATAACACCCTGCCTCATCTGATCGAAAATATACACTTTGAAGCGAGGGATGTTTGGCTTTCAAATGCGTTAGCAGGTGCTCAATAATTGACGCTACCGCATACCAATCTTGTGTGCATTGATCAAACAAGTGCGCGTACGTGGTGACTTGCAATTTCTTAGATAACTCATCGCGTGATACAACACTACTAACATGCCAGCTGAGTCCTCTTTTACCATACCAATCGCTTTACTTTTCATGGTAGCGCAACTGTAGAAACTTCATCGCCCAATCCATGATGACCAATCTCGAACTTGAGTCAACCTTTGCAAGGACGTCTTGTTTAGCGCTTTCTTGGTTTGTTGTCCGCGTGACATGTGCTTTCCACTGATTGATAGATTTTACAGCTTGCTCAAAGTCATAGGCGATGTCTTCTTGTTGCTCCTTACTGTAAAATGAGAGGCCTTCATGTTTGATTGCTTGCTCTATTTTGTTTATGCATGTAGATATGTTATCACATTGGTTACAGCGTGTTGTATGTTCATGTGCACACATTTCATTCAAATCCGTATCTTTGGGATCACTAAGCCCGAACTTCAAACAATGATCAGGACAAGGGGTCTTGGATTCCTGGCAATGATTACGGTATTCCGTCATTAAGTACTGTTTACCGTTTAGGAGAGACTTCTTTATAGCTTTTGACCAGGTATCATCTTGCCCTAGCTCCTGTAGATCTTCCAAAATTTTACAAAGTCTCTCGAGACCAGCTGAGCCATCCGCTGCTGTATTGTCAACACCACACAACAACTTTTGTTGGGAGGCTTCTCTTACTTGCAGGATACGAAACAACGTCGCGCGACCCAATGGCACTGCATTCTCTTCTTTGCGGAACATCAAATACTGGTTAATCATAGATTACATTAGGCATCTTTATCTTTGCACCACTGTCCATCTTTAATCTTCTAGATCCGTATGCCACATCTTGGTAAAAGTATGGTCTGTTGATAAAATCAATAAAGTGGTCAACTTGAACTTTATTCAGTCATACACGATGAGATTTGGATTTCTCAATGACATAACCTGGTCCACATTCACGGGCATGAGCTCACGCTCTCTTGATTTGCCAATCAGATATTCGTTCGTACGGTTCATGTAGCTTTTTTAGCTTTTTCGCGGAATATTGGTAAGCATAAAGGCTCGAAATTTGTGTCTTTAAATTTCTGGTTGGAGCATTTTTGTGAGCTTGCATAAGAGTAATAAGCTCATCTGAAAGAGTTTCATTCCCTTGGTCGGGTAGCTGCACATACGATTGCAAAAGTTCATCTCCTGCCTTTGGTGCTACTACTTCACACACGATCTTGCATCCTTCCATGGCTTTATCAATGCAGATTTCTTTTTCCCCATGTGTTGCTTCCTCCCACGTTGTATTTAGTTGAAATGTCAAAGGGGTGAATTTTCCAACATTAACTTTCTCCGACAAACCAGACAAAGCTTTATTGTATTCCAGCATCAACAAATCGTTTTCCTGTCTTCACCCGTCCATTGCCCTGGTGTCCAGTCATCTGGTGCAAGCATTGTCTTTGTTGCAACCGGGGTGCCTTCCCAATGTTTGACGTTGTTCAAGGTCATTTCAGCGACTTTTTTAGCAAGCCTAAGAAATGAAATGTGCATACATTTATGTCTATCATATAAAAACGTAACTTGCTTGTTTAACTGAAAAATGAAAACATCTTGAATGCCAAGAAACGGACTATTACAAGACGTGAGATTTAAATGGTTATAATTAATTCGGTTCTATGTCACAATCATCATGATAATGTTTTCAATTTTCAAAGTTGCATGTTTAAATTAAGGGGAATTATTGTCCCAATTCGGAGGTTTTATTCAATGAAGCAGTTCTCACCGAGATTCGCTGCGAAGACAAGATGCTGTCTTCTCTTTTTCTTCATCTTCTAGTCCTATCCAGTCTTGGTTTTCCTCGCACTTCTTTGTATGTTTTTTTAGACAAGAGGAACAAACAGCTGTACAGAGGAAAATACATAATTACAAATTTCCTTCTATTAAGCCTTGCTTCCACGGGCGAAATTTTCAAGCGAAATGCGAAATATTTCGCCTGTTCCTTTTGAATTGTGAGCAATCAAGCAGAATTGATATATTCAAGTGGTCACAATTCAAAAGAAACCGGCGAAATATTTCGCATTTCGCTAAGAAATAGCGCCTGTGGAATTAGGCCCTTACATGTAACGAAAGAAGTCTTCAAACATGGGGATACCGCTCTATAGCTAAGCAAGACGGGATCATAGACATTAAAATGCCAATTCTACACCACCCAAATTAATTTTACCTGAACCAATTGGAACCGTTATCCCAAAAATTTCTTGCGTATGCCTGGACATCGGCAGAGTTACTACGTCGATATTCTTCAGGGCTTTCTTAGCACCAGAGTGAAGAGGGTACTGACACGTTCTTAAAGGGCGCCAGTTTCGGCCCAAGTTGTACCGGTGTTTCAGACAAACCCACATCTTTTCAACCTGCTTTAGCGGGAAATCAAACATCCCCGCCCTTACAAGGATTAGCTGATATTCCTCGATTTTTCCAACTACCCTGGAAAGGCGACATGCTTGCAACTGTCCTGTTATGTCATCTTTACATTCAAGTAATTTACGCAGAATGTTCGGCAATTTGCGAAATTCTCCACAAGTAGATTTGGTAAGCTCAGAAAAAGAACAGATTGGCTCCATAACAGTAATTCAACAACCTTCAATTAAATTCCCTAAGAGCCTGGAAACAAATCGCAAACGTAAACAAAACATTGTTAACTATACTCTCGCTTTGCATTTTAGTAGCCGGCAATTGATCTGCATTAATAATTATTACGTGTTTAGCTATGACTTGAAGTAAATTTATTGTGGTGACCTGATGTCTTTGCCAATCTTTGGGCTTGGCTTTGTTTTCTGTCAGAATCAAGCAAGCAAGGTCGTTGTAATAAACAAAATACATGCATGCGAGTTCTATCGTTCTTGTATTTTACTTTATAATTTTACAAGCTTCATTGAATACGGTCTAATATATTTACAAAATTAGCGTCAGTGGA